TAATCTTCAGCTGTTTGCTGAAGTCCTTTCTCCTTACGAAGTCCAAGAAAGTAGCTTTGAGTCCTTTCTCTTCTGCTGCTGTGTGATTTCTCCTTCTCAGTGTCATACCTCAGTTTGTAGGTTGCTGCAGTGTAGTTCAGCTTATCAAGCGTCTGTGTCCTGGAATGTTGATTCCTCCTTCGGGTTTTCGGTTGTCCTCCGTTTAAATCACTGCAAGGACATCCTCCGGGCCCCCCTCTCTCTCTCTCTGGGGTCCGTCTCCAATTCTTGCCTGGGATCCTTCTCCCTAGCAATCGAGCCTCCTCCGGCCCATCCACTTGGCTCTGCTCTAATGCTGAGCCTCACATCCACTCTCACTAAACAGTGAGAGGGAAAAACAGCCCTCCTCTACAGTTTGGCTGCAAAGTTGGGGGGGGGGAAGAAGAAGAGGGCCTGGCTGCAGGGCCTGTCTCTCTCTCTCTCTCCCACTTACCAGTTGTTTGTGAGTCGCATCCCTCACAAACATGCACTCATTCCAATGCTGTCTCTAACTCTGGCCTAGACAGAGTTAGGGGAGCCACAGGGCTCCCCTCTTCCCCCCGGAGGGGGAGAGAGGGAACCCAGCCACCCCCTGGCCTTCTCCACCTACACGCAGCAGACACCAACAGCAAAACAACCAAGACAGAACTGCCAACCGCTTCTGGGGCTGTGATATGTGACTTTGAGCAGAAGCGAACAACATGGACGGTGATTGGCTCTGCAGGGAACACTGCCCTGGCACCTAATCACCTCTGAGCCCCCCCAGACTCTCAGGGGGGGACCAATTTCAAACTATGACAGATGTATGACACCGTAATCATCTCTCCTTCATTTCACTGCATTTGCAATCTTGGTACTGATTCTTCAGCAAGTATCTCTGGTTGTGCATCGTGAGGATTTGATGTGTACTGCCAGTACTCAGATGGAAATGAGACCCCCCCTGAGCTGTGGACATGTACTGCCTCATTTGGAAACTCCAAGAGACTTCATGAATTTAGTATAGACATTGCTGCTGCCCATCATACATTACATATATTTTAATCCCTCTCTCTATTCAGATCTCAAAAATCCTTTCTTTCCATCCAGAACTAATGCCCCTGCACCCAAAAGTATTAACTTTTCTAATCAGCCAAGATTCATGTTCAATATGAGACAAAAATCAACTTCTAACTTGTCCCACTTTTGACGCCTTATTTGACATTTAAATAATAAAACTTTGAATTAACTGTTAATTATTTGAGCATAACTTTTGCTTTAAATTGGTGGATAAATACACATGTATGTTATTATCTGTGTTTATGTTTTATTCGTTTGGGTGCTCACTAGCCTTACTCCATATACATTTTTGCTTATATGCCGTGGAGGGTAAGCACTTACTCTATCCTATTTCTGCCAGTCACATAGAGGAAAACAAGAAAATACTGCAACGACTTTTTGCTTTGTCTCTTTCCAAAAGTAAAGATTTACATAGTGTCTTTTTTTTTTCAGACAGAGATTTGTGTCCCCATCTCCCATAACAAGACCAGCATAAACCAGCACTCTATTAGTGGTACATAAAGAATGTAAGAGGACAAATCTCAGTACTTTGCCTATCTGCCACAGTCCTAATTTCCCGTAATGGCTACTGTACCAACTAACATGAGCACATTGTTTTGAAGTAAAAGCTGAAATTCTTTTTAGTTATGACTTAACACCCAAATTTTTGTTTCTTTTAGAATGGAAGATTGTTTTTCCATGGCAAGGGGGAAGAGTGCCTGTGCTCTCTTTGTCATATTGACCCAAGCAATAATGGTATCCAGTCCAGGCTCCTCTTTAATTGTCACCCGTGGTGGATACCTAAGGAATCATTAAAAGAACAAGGCAGATGCACAGCAATAGTCTCCTGTGGATGTGATATGCAGTACTGGGGCTGCCTGAAGAAGCAGTGTATGTTGTTAGACAAAGACATACAGGTGGCAAAACGGGACAGACTTTTGGTCGCACAAACTTTTCTTTGGGTTAGAACCATCTTTCAGTTAAGAAAAATTGTTTACCATTTGCTAAGATACTCCTTAATTAAACCAGCTCTGAAAGGAAGAAGACAGGAGCTTTATAATAGAGAAGACATTAATGACATTAAGGATGGGAGAAAGACTGGCATTTATGAGCTAAGTAAAAAGGAGAGACAATCACCTTACAATCTGTTGATTTGGAGAGAGGTAAGCAGAAGAGGTGGTGGTGTGTGGAAGCAGAAATAAATTACAATGTACTAGCAGACCAGCATCTCTGTTGAGTCCCCAGTTTTGGGTGTTGGGCAGAGTTAGGAAACCTAATTCCCATGTGCACTTCTGTCGGACAAGATCTGTAGTTTTCCTTAAGGATCAGGTCTGAAAGAGGAGAGGGAGAATGTCCTGTTTTGTGAGAAACATTCCCTCATCAACAGAGGTGTGTTTGGTCTCTAAAGATGGTTTGTGGGAGTTCCTGCTGGAGCTCAGTGGTCATTTTCAGCAGCAAAACTACAAAGAATACAGCCGTGCACAGGATGAAGTGTGTTGCAACCCTGGAACATCAAATGTAAGATCAGAGTATGCTGGTGATTTGATGGCAGGGAAAGTTCATTGCTGTAGTAGTGGACGGGCATCAACACATCTTAGATTTCTTGCTCAGGCACAGTTTAAACTTATCTGGTTTTGGACCACAGAGGATTAAGCTCTAATGATGAGTTTTGTGGTTTGGGGTGTTTGAAATGTAGGACAAGTGCTTCTGGGAAGATTCTTTTCCACACAGGATTTTCTTCTGTTATGTGAAAAATCATTAAACAGTTAAAACCAGCAAGTCCTAGGAACTTTTCTGAACTTACCAGCTCCCAGCCCTCCTACAACGCCTCCTCCATTCTCATTTCCACTTTTTCTTACTGAGCTGGTCTTACTGATACATCTGAACTTGCAGCACTTCTGAAGTTGCATTTAGCTTTTAGATAATTGCTGCATTTAGACAGTTACTGCTTCAGAACCAAATATAGCTTTTTATTCCAAAAATGTGTCTGCTTTTCCTTCTATACCAACTGGTCCAAAAAAAAATCCATTACCTACATGTACAAACCTCTTAATTACCTTTCCTGGATTGCATGATGCATTCCCAGGTCTGAAGAGGACAAGCAGAAAGCCAAGGAGGCTTTCTGAAACTAGTCAGAAATTCATACTCATTTTCTGTGAGAAAGAGCATATATACTTGTTCCTACCTAAAGATCCAGTGTTCAATCATTTTAGGATGAACAGGGAAACCATACTGCCATTTAGGGCTGGATATAAATTAGGTTTTGTGCTAGAAAAGAGTTACTAATTTTAATTACTGAATGTAGATCTGAAGAGAAAAATCTGTAGCTTAAAACTATAAATGCAATATTCAAGGAATCGAACTTTTTTCAGCAGAAGATGGAAAAAGATATTTGTGTGTATCATTTTTGAACTAAGGTTCTCTGAGAAAAGAGTTTTTGACAGAACTCAATGAACCTTAGTAAACAAGGACATCAGCAATCAACATATTTAAGGATGTGCAATTTCTAAACATGATCCCACTCCTGCAGTCGTTACACAGCATAGATTTTGCTATTAATTAGTTTGAATGTGGGACAGCACTACAGGGAGAAAGAAAGTGGCCTAAATAGCATGGTCCAAATTTTATGTGTAGCTATCCAAGAAACACGGATGTCTTCTATTAACCCTTGTCACCTGTGACAGCTAGAAATAACTGCTGGACATGTCTTACTCCTAATGGATTTTTGCAGCTCATTAGTATGTAAGGGGGAAAGGGTGAGAGCATGCTACAGAGAAGGAAGACAGCTGGCCAGAGAAGTTCCGTGCCTGGTTCAGCTCTGAGTGGCAAAATTAACCTTCTGACAAATACAAGGACATTCATATACACGATGCAGAGGCTTGGTTACTGAATGGAGAACCGGGTAGGGTTCTTCTCCTCTCCAGGAGCATAGTTTATTACTCTTATTCAATTAAGTAAATCCTCCATTCAGCCTCCATCATTTCTCTAGACTACGCTTTTCAGCAGCGCCAACAGGACCTCCATTCTGTTTGTGCAAAGGGGCTTCGGACATGCAGAAATGGACACTGTTGGTGGGCATGCTATGCCTAATTCACCCCCTCCCCAGAATACAGCAAAATTTTCAAAAGCCTGACGGGAGGTATTGCAAGTCACGGAGCATTCATCTTGAATTACTCTGGAAGAGCTGACCACTAGGCAGAGGGAGGAAGGGGAATGGGAAAGTCCTGCTGGGATTATTTTCGTATCTCAGGCTGCTGCTGTGGACACGATGGAAGGCGCAGATAACCCACTGGCAAAAGCTCTGAGGGGAGGCGAGTTTTGGCCACTCTCATATCGCGGTCTGAGCCCGCATGCTGCCGCCGCTCCTGCCCGCATCCCAAGTGACCGCAATAAACCCGTCTTCCCCATTTCAGCCCTGCACAGATGCCCCCTGCTCCCTGCTCACTGCTCCCCGGAGCAGAGCCCTGACAGCGGCGCGGCCTCCCCCTACCAACCCTGCCCTTCGCTGTGTGCCAAACATAGATCCTCCCGCCGGAATTAGCCGCCTGACCTCCGGGGAGGTGCCGGGACCCGGCCCCATAGGGGTGCGCCGCTCAACGGCCTCAACAATCGTCACCACCGGGGTACCCAAAAACACTCCCAGGAGAGCCGGGACCAACACGGCGCGGCCTCGACCCCCCGCTCTCCCCCCGCGGCGGGGCCCTTCCCTCGCACCGCCCCCGCCGCCTTTGTGCGCGGCGCGGGGCAGCCCCACGCCCGCCTGCGCCCGCCCCCGGGTGAGGCGTTGGGAGACGGTCCCTTACGCAGGAAAGTTCGGCGTCGGTTTCAAGGCTCCTCCCTCCGGTGAAGGCAGACTGCGGGGCGCCTGGAAACCGGTCGGAGGGAGCGCGGCGCGGCGAGGCGAGGGGCGCGGGCTCGAGGGGCCGGCACAAATGGTCAGGCGGCGGCGGCGGCGGCGGAGGCGGTGGCGATAGTCGGAGGCGCGGCGGTCGCTGCCGCCGGTGCGGGGAGAGCTGCGCGCTGCGCGCCGCGGCCGCGCGAGTGGCGACCGGGGCTGCCCCGTCCCTGCTCGCCGCTCCCTTCATGAGTCGCAAGTTCGGGCCGGGAGGAGCAGCGGCGGCGGCGGCGGCGGCGGCGGGGCGGCGAAAGCCCAGCAGGGCAGGCAGCACCGACTGAGCATGGCCGAGCGGCGCGGGCCGGCGGTGAGCGGCGGCGGGGAAGTTGGCGGCGGCCGGTGCCCGCGGCTGCCTCTGCTGCTGGTGTTACTCTGGGCGGCTGTGCTGCCGGCCGGGGGGCAGTCCAACGGCGAGCGGGGCATCTCCATCCCGGACCACGGCTACTGCCAGCCCATCTCCATCCCGCTCTGCACTGACATCGCCTACAACCAGACCATCATGCCCAACCTGCTGGGCCACACCAACCAGGAGGACGCGGGGCTGGAGGTGCACCAGTTTTACCCGCTGGTGAAGGTGCAGTGCTCGGCCGAGCTCAAGTTCTTCCTCTGCTCCATGTACGCGCCGGTGTGCACGGTGCTGGAGCAGGCCCTGCCGCCCTGCCGCTCCCTCTGCGAGCGGGCCCGCCAGGGCTGCGAGGCCCTCATGAACAAGTTCGGCTTCCAGTGGCCCGACACGCTGCGCTGCGAAAAGTTCCCCGTGCACGGGGCCGGCGAGCTGTGCGTGGGGCAGAACGCCTCCGAGCGCGGCACCCCCACGCCCGCCCTGCGCCCCGAGAGCTGGACCAGCAACCCCCACCGCGGGGGCGCCGGCGGCGGCCCCGGGGGCCCGGGGCCCGGCGAGCCCCGTGGGCGCTTCACCTGCCCGCGGGCGCTGAAGGTGCCTTCCTACCTGAACTACCGCTTTCTGGGGGAGAAGGACTGCGGGGCGCCCTGCGAACCCGGCCGCCTCTACGGGCTCATGTACTTCGGGCCCGAGGAGCTGCGCTTCTCCCGCACTTGGATCGGCATCTGGTCGGTGCTCTGCTGTGCCTCCACCCTCTTCACCGTCCTCACCTACCTGGTGGATATGAAGCGGTTCAGCTACCCTGAGCGGCCCATCATCTTCCTCTCGGGCTGCTACACGGCGGTGGCCGTGGCCTACATCGCCGGCTTCCTCCTGGAGGAGAGAGTGGTCTGCAACGAGCGCTTTGCCGAGGACGGCTCCCGCACCGTGGCGCAGGGCACGAAGCGGGAGGGTTGCACCATCCTCTTCATGATGCTCTATTTCTTTGGCATGGCCAGCTCCATCTGGTGGGTCATCCTCTCCCTCACCTGGTTCCTTGCTGCCGGCATGAAGTGGGGCCACGAGGCCATTGAGGCCAACTCCCAGTACTTTCACCTGGCTGCTTGGGCCGTGCCGGCCATCAAGACCATCACCATCCTGGCCCTGGGACAAGTGGATGGGGATGTTCTCAGCGGTGTCTGCTTTGTGGGCATCAACAACGTGGATGCCCTGCGGGGCTTCGTGCTGGCCCCCTTGTTCGTCTACCTGTTCATCGGCACCTCTTTTCTGCTGGCTGGCTTTGTGTCCCTCTTCCGGATCCGGACCATCATGAAGCACGACGGCACCAAGACAGAAAAGTTGGAGAAGCTCATGGTGAGGATAGGCATCTTCAGCGTCCTCTACACGGTGCCAGCCACCATCGTCATTGCCTGCTATTTTTACGAGCAAGCTTTTAGGGAACAGTGGGAGAGGAGCTGGGTCACACAGAGCTGTAAGAGCTATGCCATTCCCTGCCCCAACAACCACAGCAGCCACCACCCGCCTATGAGCCCTGACTTTACTGTCTTCATGATCAAGTATCTCATGACCTTAATTGTGGGCATCACCTCGGGCTTCTGGATCTGGTCTGGGAAAACCCTGAACTCCTGGAGGAAGTTTTACACCAGGCTCACCAACAGCAAGCAGGGCGAGACCACTGTCTGAGACCCCTGCCTGCCGGACCAGGGGGATGTGGGTGGCCAAAGGACCGAGGCTCTGCCTCGGGAAGCAGCTCCTTACCCAGCCTGGGCAAACTTTGGGGACCGCAAGTGTCTTCCGCAGGCGACAGGGAGCGGAGGACGAGCCGGGGGGACTCTGGGGCCCGGGACCGCCCAGCTCTGCCCTCCCCGCGCTGCTCGGGTTGTCTCCTGTAGGAGCTGAACGCATTGTCAGGTTGGGGGAGAGGGATGTAAATAGCCTCTGTAAGATTTTGTAAGTATATTTGTATTTAAATTGCAAAAAACCTCACTTTTTTAATTATTTAGGACACTTTTAACCCGTTTGCGGATTTTATTTCCTTGCCTCCCTCCCCCCCTTTTTTATTTAAAGAAAAAAAGGCTTTGGATTTGTATTTCGTAGGGCAGAATGGGAAAAGCTGCCGGTAAGAGAAACGAAAAAAAACCCTTTCTTCTCCCCCACACAGGTTTTGTAATGGCTTTGCTTGGAATTTCGGCTGCATCAGCAGCAGGGCCCGGAGCGGGGTTGCGGCCGCGGCCGGGGTCGCCTTCTGACCCGGGCTGGCTCCCGATCCCTACTCCGAGGTGGGGATGGGCAGGAGCGCCGCTTTCCGCCCTGGCCCCGTGTGGGGGAGGACGGACCCCATCCCGTCCCCCTACGGGGAGGACGTGGAGCCGCCTGGCCATGGCGCAGAGACAGCGCTGCACCGGGCCCCGGCCCCGCTGACCCCTCCGGGCCCTTCTCGGGAGATGCGAACATCATCCAGCCCTGCCAGGAGCGCGGCCGGTCTGGGGCGGCTGCGGGGCCCCACACGGCTCGGGAGGAGTTGACCCCGTTCCCTGTAGGAGTTGGGGTTCAGCACCGCCTGCACCTGTAGCACGTCCGATGGCTCAGGAGGTGGCTGGGGACAGAAAGACACCGAAATTCCCTCCTGCTCTGGTATTTTTTAAGCCCACTTTGCAGTCCGGGGGCGCTCCGCGGGTGCTCCCGCCGCCGCCTGCCCCGGTCCCTCCCCGCCTGGCTGCGGCCGGCTGGGGTCAGCAGGATCAGGAAATGCGGGCTCGGTGAAAAGAGCTCCGTCGGAATAAAACGCAGCGTTCAGTTTGAGGCTTTTGTTGATACACCCTCCCCTCCCCCCCAATTATATTGATACACCGGCTCTTCATATGGGAAACATTGGAGCCGTTGCCATTCTTCTGAATTGTAATTCATTGAGATTTAATTCGTTACACATTATGAGGGTGTGATGATTTTTGCCAGTAGTAAAAACGACGGAAGGGAAAGCAGAAAACCATAATGTTTAAGCACTCTGGTGAGATGTGAGACTTGAAAGAATCTCTGCTTTCTTTTCCCTGTCTTATTTTCGGTCCAGTAATAACATTGCATACTGCAAGGATAAGATACCATGTGTGCAGTATATCTACTACCTTGTATGCTCCTGGATGTGTGGGATTGTGCTTCTAATACATAAAAAAAGTTAAAGATTAAATTGTAACTTTCGACAGATGCATTTGAATATGTAGACCTCTGTATGAAAAACAGCAGAATGCTTCTCTCCTGATTGTATTGTTTTAAACTTTTTTTTAATATTACAAATGCCTGTATTTAGGTTCATAAACATTATCTATGGCTACCATACCCTGAAATGCAAAATTATTTTAATTTGGTATGCATTTATTTCTGTTCATTATCACAAGATCATCTATATTTATAGAGGAATAGAAATTTATATATATTAAATACCATATTTTTAATTTCTCTGAAATAAATTGAGGTTTTGTACAAAACTGTCTTGTCCCTTTATGTATTCTTCTGATGAACTTAAATACTCTCTGAAAGCAGTGTATATGCTACAAGATGTGTGGGATTCCTTTTTTCTTAGGTTGAGTTCACAGTAACAAGCTGGAATTCAGTGTAGGAATTCATTGTGCATTTTGTTTTTTTATTTCTGGGCCAGTCTAGATTAATCCTTCAAAAGAAGTAATGTAAACTGTTCAAAATCTCTGACAGGTTATGGTCGGTGGTGTGAAATCTAAGAAGAGATCTGCTATATGGCAGGAGAAGAAAGAAGCTCACCAGTTCTTTTTTTTTTTTGGTGTTTTTATTTTGGTTGTAGAAAAGGGTTCTCTCAACTTAGCCTTTCTTCTCCCTTTCGTACTAAAATACAAAAAAAAAGATATTTTCTTATAATGATATTCTGCTTAAAATGACACTCGGACTATGTTGCAATATTGTCAGAACATTTTAATGAGTAAAATAGTTTTGTTCTGTTGAATTTTGAATGTTTGGTTAATCCAGAGTTAAACAATAGTTTAACTGGACAGTTTAAATGGAAGCATTTCAGATCTGTGGAAAGTACGCACATTCTTTAATCTTTCAACACAACACATTCTTTTTTTTTTTTTCTTTTTCTGTAATTCATTTTTCAAAGTGCCATTCTGTAAGTGTGGGTTTGTTAGGAAAGACTGAAAGACTGGTTAATTTTTAGTGTTACGAGCTAGTAAAGCATTTCATTATGTAGATCTGGAGGCAGATGTAAATGATTTTTGGCTTGTTTACTTTTTTCAAATCATGATGCATAAACAAACAGAGGGAACTAAGGGAAGCTTAGCAGAATTTCTCTAAGGTGAGGCAAGGGGGCAGGGTTTTGTCATTATTTTAAAATTTGTTTTACATAAACATAGTTCCTGCTTTCTCAGATATTTGGACAATTTTCTCAAGTATTTTCCCCCCTTCTGGTTTTTTTTTGGGGGGTGGATATTTTACCATTTAAAATTTTGCTAGTCATCACTCTGCTAATGACCTGAAGTACAAGCTATTCACTTTCAGTTGCAGTGGAATTCTTTTTTGTCAGTGTATAATTACATTTCAGCCGTTTTGAATGATCTGTTTTCTTGCAGCAGAATGTAGGTGATTTATTTATGCATGGGAGAACACAGTTATTTGTAACAGGAGATCTTGTATTTATGGTAGGGATGGGAGAACCAACTTTTAAAAAATAATTCTCAAAAGCGAATAATGGAATTGTTTCTGCAAAAAGTAAAATGTCAGTATTTGCAGTTCATTATTTGCAGCACATATGGATCTCCTTCAGCTCCTTGGAATTTTTTTTTTCATAGATTGCAGAGGTGAAGCTCCATGTTCAGTCTTGGTTATTTTAATAAATATACTAGAGAGCACAATATGATCATAAATCAATTGAAAGAGCACCCCCTGCTTTTTCATTTGCTAATTTTTGTGACCCTTCACAGGGCTGTAATTTGCAAATGTCACAGTCATTACTGAATGCTGTGGTGCTATCTGTATGACTCACCTACCTTTTTATACTTTCATTTCTCAACGCATAATGGTATTTCAGACGCTTTATTAATATAATACAAAGGTGGGTTTTGCATGGGTATATAGCAGTTATCAGTAATGTTTTACCTCACTGTTAAAAACAAATCTATCCATTGCTCCAGGGAGTTCAGTTAGGATTTTTTACAACATAGTCTGGGTAATTGATGTGCCATGATTACCAGAGAAAGCATCACTGTATATAAAGAAGCGGTTTTGCCCACTTCTCCTGTCCCTGACAAGAAGGTTAATATAAGAACAAAACTGGTATAACAAAGTTTGTTGGGCTGAAGTTCTAGTTAAGGCATTCTGTAGTCAGCAACTTTACTTTCTCTCATGGGATATATTTATAGACTGAAATGAAGGGGCACTCAGAATCACCATTCCCCCAAAGAGATCTGTAGCCTGAAGAGCTGGGGATGTTGATTTACTGTTCATCCTTCAGTAATAGTAATTCTCTTTAATGTAGTGGCAAATTTGTGGTATTGGAATGAAATTATATGCTGTTTCCATAACAAATCCTATTGGGAAGGAGAAGGATTTCTGGTTTGTTCACACAGTAGCGCCCAGAATTTCTGGTATATGTGTATGCTTTTGCCTGTTGTGTTTAGTTTTGGTTTTGTTGTTTTTTTTTTTTAATAAGAGAGGCAAGGCTGCAATCTAGTAGGCCTGAATTCTGCCCTCTGGATGATGCCCACAGTTCTGCTGCCATCCCATTGCTTATTGTTGGACGCAAGTGCAATTACAGGTGGTGCTGAGGATCCCTTTCATTTAAAAGAACAATATTTGCACATTTTTAAAAATTATTATTCAAAGGGATGATAATTAGGCATGAGAAGAGACTGCTGTATATTTACAGGATGTGTATTTTTCAGAGTGGGCTTTGGACTAGTGTCTCATCAGTCTTTTGCCAATCCCAGTCACATGAGACAACTTTCAGACACGATGATCCTTTTGAAAGGGTGTGCGCCCCGCAGCTGACCAGAGAAAGTAATCATGGTTTGGCATGACTTGCATAGTTTAAAATTATTGAGGGTACTCTTGCAAAAAGTTTACATTTGTGTGACATGACTCCTCCTCCGCAGTGCTGCATGGCCTCAGAAAGAGTTTCAGCAAGCAAACCTCAGGACAGCTGAAGAGGTGATAAGTAAGAGTTTAAATGCTGACCTATAAAAATAAGGAAACTGAGGTAAGGCTCTGTTTTCATCACAAATTTACCCTCTAGTGCTCAGGCACTGGAATTGCATTATATTTGACAGATCTTTCCAATGACAGCACTACAAAACTGGCAATACTGTGCAAAATCAGTTATGAATATCAGCCCCTTCCCCCTTTTTAATTCTCCTAGGTTTTTATTAGTTGTTGTTTACACTTACTGGACTCAGAGCATCATTGCTCTGCATGTTGTGCAAACTTGGAGTGAATGGATCATATGGATTCTGAATTCAAATATTTATTAAAAAATGCAAGTGCGTTATATGCTTGGTCCCATTAGAAGAACTGGTCGCTCTTATGTCCGTATCTATGAGAGTTTTTTGTATTTGTAAGTCTCTTGCCTCTATTGTTCATCAGTTGAGCTGAAAGGCTTAGGCAATGATTCACGCTCATTTGGAGAAGGAGAACTTTGTTTTTCTTGCTGTGGACTAATCCCCTTGCTGTTTCTGTGTTTACAGCATACAAGTGTCACCAGAGAAACACTTTGTTCTGAAGCTCCTGATCAATTTTGGAATAGCAATACCATAATTTATAAACAGGTTCGGGGATTTAGGAAGCTGAGGCTTTGGTTTTTACAGTTTATTTTTTAGAAGTCTACAAGAATTTTAAGATGTGAAACAGCTTCTTAAGGACAAACTAAGCATGTCAGGATTAGGTCCTGGATGCATTGCAAGCATTATGAGTCCCATATTCATTTGAGAGTAGCCCAGCGATGGTGTTAAAGCAGATAAGATAAGCCCTATAAGAAAAAAAGAAAGGCATAATTGCATTTATTTGCCAGCTGAAATTCACTCTGCACCTTTTGTCATTTGAGGTCACTAAATGGAGAAGCAAATATAATTTCTGTCATATGGGAGAAATTTCAGTGAATTAGCAAAATAGACCTTAATAAGCAGTATGTAATTGCAAGTGCAATTACAAAGCAATACCAGTTTGATAGTTCAGTTGTAGACAATGCTTTTCAAAAATTTAAATGCTTTAAAACGTGCTGATTTTGTAGGCCATGGCAACTGTGTTTCAGATCCCAACTTGTGTTTAGTCTAAACTTCCAGTGTAACCACATTAGAGAGTCTTCCAGGCATGAGGTCTTGCCCTTGTTTGCATTCAAATCAGCAGCATTAAGTATTAAGCTTATCTTGAGGTTGAGTAAATAAACTTTAGTTTTCTACTCAGACAACACTTAATGAAGACCACATTCAGCCACCAACCTCTTGTGAAATGCTGCTGGCTTGAGACCCCAAAAGCCTTGCCTTTTGCCTGTATCCCAAGGCTTTGTTGCAGTGCTTGAAAGTATAGGACATGATCGAACTTCACTAAGGTGAAAACTTCATAATAACCATTAAACTGATGTAACCATGCTGCACTGAGAGGCTTCTGTCAACCACCATGTAAAGTATTTTTGATGGATTATCTTCAAAATAATTTCTTCAGAAATGTTGAAGTAACAGACTTCTATTTGCAATTAGCTGTCATTTGAACAGTTGCCTTATTAACGGTCTGCAACATTTAATAAGGGGTTATCCTAAGCTAACATATAATGCTACCCTATATCAATAGTGCAACACACTAGGTGAAACTTGTCCACCTTATAGTATCACCAGGATCCCTTTGGGTGAGGAGAACAGTATTTTTGTCTAGTTCTAGTATAACTTGGCTATTATTAATTACTTGCCGCAACACAAATTTAGAAATAATTTATCATGGGGTAATTGAAAAACAAAGATCACAAGAAAAATCAAAAAATTGCATATATCCCTCAGGTGGGATGTTGATGCTGTTTTGTTGCATATTTGTCTGTATAATACAGATCCTTTATAACTGCCAGTGCTAGTCTCACTGGCTGTGTTTATGTGAGACTAACAGGATGACTCACGGATGCTCTATGACTTGTTGTGTTGTCTTGTTCAGGTTAACTGCTATTGTTTTGTTACTGGTAACTTGTGTGACCTCCACAACCAGGCTCTGAGTACTGCAGAAGTTAAGGACAGGACTGCTAGCCACAGGAGTGTGTAGTCCATTTGAATAAGACAAGGGAATGTCAGCCTCCCCCCCAGCCCCTTCCCCACCCCTGGTTCAATGCCTGCAGCTCCACTGGGCACTGGTCGGTCACTCTCCCTCAGAGGCAATGTTGGCCTTACTCCAACCATTGCCAGAATATAAGTTGCTCAGATCCCCATTTATTGTTGAGAACTGACTGTGCAGTGTTCATCACATTCATCAAAAAATCATTGCTGTCCAAACAGAAAAGCAACTTACTCTCAAGGTATTTGACAGCTTCTTTATTCATGACATTTCACTGTAAAATACAAGCACAAATACTATCCCAAAGGAGATGATCTTGAGTTAATACTGAGAGTATAGCATGGGCAAATAAGGATTTTCCACTTGTTCAAATTAAAATATTACTGTTCATTGTGGTAAATTCACTCTATGTGAAATAGAGAAGAAAAGGCTGCAACACACCTTCATGATTGCCTTCAGGAAAATGAGCCTTTCATTTATAGCCTATTCATCTACAAATGCATCTAAAGAGGAAATAAAATAATAATAAAAAAGCCAACACAAAACCTCAAGGTGGGTTTCTCACAATATTTATATAAATTAAAAAATTGCAGGAAAACCAGCTCATGACAAAGTCAGATTTTGCTATGACTCTTGTTAACTTCTCAGTACTTTTTTGTCTATACTGGTGAAAGCTTCGCTTTTATTTTCTGTGAACAAGAA